GGAAATGGCAACCCACTGCAGTACCTTGCCTGGAAAATCTCATGGACAGAGGAGCTGGGTGGGCTGCAGTCCATGGGGTCGCAAAGAGTTGGGCACGACTGAATGACTAACACTTACTTACACTTGTGCTTCCCTGGGGCCTCTGAAAAGACTAGCCCTACCCAGGCCTGGATTTAGCCCCATGAAGCCCGGCCCGTGTTGGAGTCCTGACCGTAGGGCTGTGAGATGAGTTCTCAGCCAGGCCGAGGGTGCTATGTCCTGGCTCTGACCATCTCACTCCTGCTTGGCATTGAGTGTCAGGCCTCCTGCCCCTGGACTCCGAGCCTTTCCAACCCGCCTCCACATGATGGTCAGGGAACATTGTACCTAGGGTGGGCCTCTCCCAGCACCACACAGCTCTATGTGGGGCCAGCACCCTCTCCCCAGACCCACTGGGCTCCTCAGGCTCTGCCCTTGGCACCAGCTGAATTGTGTAGAATCCCCAGAACTAGTGAGATCCCACCATGGGCCGGCTCGGTGATGGTGGCATGGACTGCGTGGCGAGCAGAGACAGCTCCTGCAGTCTAAGATCTCGCATCTCCCTGGGAGCCTCAGCTTTGAGCCACGTGATGCTGATGAGCGTGACAAAGGTGTCTCGGGGTTAGTGTGATAGTTGCAGAACCTGTGATTCTCCTGAAAGCCATCAAACTGGACATTTTATAGTAGGTGAATTCTATCTTAATTTTTTAAAAAGAATAAAAAAGGGAAAGCATGTGGATGAGGTGGGGCTCACAGGTTGTAAAAAGTTTTACTCGGGGGACTTCTCTGGTGGTCCAGTGGTTAGGACTCCATGCTTCCAAGGCAAGAGGCACAAGTTCGATTCCTGGTGGGGAACTGAGACCCGAAAGCCATGTGGTGTGGTCAGAAAAAAAAAAATGTGCCACCCATGACAAGAGTGTGCAATCGTCCTATCCTCTTGGGTCCCTGATTGCCACCGTTGTGAGCTTGGTCTCTTTCCTTGCAGTGAAGTCACTTGTCGGCAGTTCCAAGGGTAGGGTATGTGTGGGGTCGGCAGGTCTGGCTTCGTACAGCCCCTGCACCCCAGGTCTCTGTTGTCACTGTTTTGAAATTTGTCATAATTTTTGAATAAGAGGTCCCACAGTCACATTTTCCATCAGCTCTGAAGATTAAAAGATGAAAATTGAAAGATACTTGCTCCTTGGAAGGAAAGCTATGACAAATCTAAACATCATATTAAAAAGCAGAGACATCACTTTGACAACAAAAGTCCATACAGTCAAAGCTATGGTTTATCCAGTAGTCATGTACGGATGTGAAAGTTGGACCATAAAGAAGGCTGAGTGCCAAAGAATTAATGCTTTCAAATTGTGGTGATGGAGAAGACTCTTGAGAGTCCCTTGGCCAACAAGATCAGACCAGACAATCCTAAAGGAAATCAACCCTGAATATTCATTGGAAGGACTGATGCTGAAGCTGAAGCTCCAATACTTGGGCCACTTGATGCAAACAGCTGACTCATTAGAAAAGACCCTGATTCTGGGAAAGATTGAGGGCAAGAGGAAAAGGGGATGACAGGGAGTGAGATGGTTGGATGGTATCACTGTCTCAATGGACATGAGTTTGAGCACTCAGGGAGATAGTGAAGGACGGGGAAGCCTGGCAGACTGCAGTTCATGGGATCACAAAGAGTGAGATACAACTTAGTGACTGACCAACAACTGCAGATTCTATAGGAGATCCTCCTCATGGTCCCACCTGCACAATTCATGGGGGCCTGTCATGGGGGCTTGGAGTTCCCCGCAGCAGGAAGTTGAAAGCCCAGCTTTTTTGTCGGTGAAGGTCACAGGCACAGCCTGGCGCCAGCTGCTGCACCTAGCAGCCTGCTCTCTCTGAGCCCCGGGGACCAGTTTTGTCCTCGCTGCTCTCTGCTCTAGTCAAAGCCGGTCTGGGCTGAGCATAGCCAGGGTGGGGGGCTCTGTGGGGCTCATCTCCCTGCCCAAGTCCAGCTTTGAGGGCTAGAGGACAGTCTGCAGCTGGCGTTAAAGGGCTGGGGATGGGGAGATTGGCAGATGGTAGATGTGAGGGCAGAGAAAGATGCCATCTCTGCAGTGATTCATAAGCTACCCATGTTCACAGCAGTGTGATTCACAGGAGCCAGAAGTGGAAACAACCTGAACATCCATCAGTGGACTATGGGTAAACACAGGGTCCCTCCACACACTGGAGCACCACTCAGCCACACAAAAGAGAGAAGCCCCGCCACTGGCTACCGTGTAGACAGACCCTGAGAACATGATGCTCGATGAGAGAAGCTGACACAGAAGGACACACAGGATGTGACTCCACTGATGGGAAACGTCCAGAACAGGCAGGTCCACAGACACAGAGAGTGGGTTCCTGGTTGTCAGGGGCTGGGGAGCAGGAGAGTGACTGCTGATGGGGACAGGGCTTCTTTTGGGGTAAGGAATATGTTCAAAAATTGGTTGTGATAATGGTTACACAACTTTGTGAATGTACAAAAAGACCACTGAATTGTGCATTTTGCTTTTTTTTTAATTGTGCATTTTGAATAAGCAAAATGTGTGGCATGAGAATTGTATCTCAGTAAGACTTAAAAAAAAAAAAAGGTGCCTAGTTTATCAGTCACTCTCTCCAGTTTGGATAATGTTCCTGAGTTGTGTAAGGAGCGGCCGTCAGGGGGCTTGGTGAAGAGTGTTCCCTGGCACCCTTCTGTAGTAGTTTTGCAACTTCTCATGAGCCTTTAATTGATTCAAAAATGAAATGAAGAATCAGATGCATAGATGGTCCCTTCAAGGTTGAGGCAAGTCTTGGCCTCAGGTCTGTGGTCACGTTGCTCCAACCCTCTCATCTCTCATCCCTGTGGGCCACTGTGCTCTACACTGTCCAGGGCGCCCCTCTGGCCTCAGTGGCCAGAGAAGCTCCAATCCTAACCTGTTGGGCCAGGTAGAGCAGATGCTGCTACTGGATGAGTTTCTATTAGAGATGCTGCTAGAGCCCAGAGGGTGTTCTTGAGGCTGCAGCACCACCTGCAGGTGATGGTGGGGACGTCAGTTCTCCATCCTGGCCTTTAATTGACAACCAGTTAGATAGAGGGCAGGAGAAGCGGGCAACAGATGAGATAGTTGGTTGGCATCACTGACTCAATGGACATGAGTTTAAGCAAGCTCTGGAAGATAGTGAAAGACAGGGAAGCCTGGCATGCTGCAGTCCATGGCGTTGCAAAGAGTCAGACACGACAGCGACTAAACAACAACAAAAAATATAGCATTTACATTTTTAAATTTAATTTTTATTTTATATTGGGGTATAGTTGGTGTACAATGTTGTGTTAGTTTCAAGTGTATAGCAAGGTTGTTCAGTTATACATATACATGTATCCATTCTATCTCAGTTTTTTTCCCATATAGGTTGTTAAGAGTACCGAGTAGAGTTCCCTGTACTATATACAGTAGGTCCTTGTTGATTATTTATTTTATATATAGTAGTCTGCATATGTTAATTGCAAGCCAAATTTATCCCTCCTCCCCAAACCGAAAATTTGTTTTTGAAGTCTATGAGTCTGTTTGTGTTCTATAAATAAGTTCATTTGTATAATTTTTTTAGATTCCACATATAAGTGATATCATGGTATTTGTCTTTTTCTGTCTTTATGATTCTTCACTTACTATGATAATCTCTAGATCCATCCATGTTGCTGTAAATGGCATTATTTCATTCTTTTTTATGGCTTAGTAGTGTTTGGTTGTGCATGTATGTATATTGGGGCTTCCCTGGTGGTTCAGACGGTAAAGAATCTGCCTGCAATTCGGGAGACTCAGGTTCAACCCCTGGGTGGGGAAGATCCCCTGGAGGAGGAAATGGCAACCCACCCCAATATTCTTGCCTGGAGAATTCCATGGATAGAGGAGCATGGCTACAGTCCAAGGGGTCACAGAGAGTCAGACATGACTGCATGCCTAACACTTCGTGTGTGTGTGTGTGTGTGTGTGTGTGTGTGTATATACACATGTATGTATATATATATGTTCTTTATCAGATACACCATATCTTCTATATCAGTTTATCTATTGATGAACTTTTAAGTTGTTTCCATGTCCTAGATATTGTAAACAGTGCTGCTGCTATGAACATTGAGGTGCATGAAACTTTTTGAACTAGAGTTTCTCCAGATAAATATGCCCAGGAGTGGGAGTGCTGGATCCTGTGGCAGCTCTATTTTTAGTTGTTTGAGAAATCTCCACACTGTTCTCCATAGTGGTTGTACTAGTTTACATTTCCACCAACAGTGTAGGAGGGTTCCTTAAATTTTTATGTATTTAAAACTTTATTTATTTTGGGGGTACACTACACAGCTTGTGGGATCTTATTTCCTTCAACCAGGGATGGAACCCACACCCCCTGTGGTGGAAGCTTGAAGTCCTAACCACTGGACCATCAGGGAAGTCCCTCCCTAAATTTTTAAACTGAAGTTTAAAAAAAATTTTTTTAGAATAACTTAGATTTTCAGAGGCATTTAAAATTACCCATCACCTAATTTCTCCCAATGACTGGGTCATTCATAAGCATAGTGTGTTTGTGATAACCAAGAGGTGGACATGGATACATTTCTGCCACCTCGATCCACTCTTTATTCAGATTTCACTTGTTTTCCCTAATGTCCTTTTTCTGCCTCAGGACCCCACCTTGCATTTAGTTGGTCACATGCCTCAGGCAAACGTGGGTGAGCTGAGTACCCCAAGGCAGGGGGTTGACTCAGTCCTCTTGCCTTCCTCCCAGGAGACCATGGGGGTCCAATGATGCAGGTGAACATCTTCTATAAACTATAAATGGTCATATGAACATCCAGTCCTTTCATCCAGTTCGGTTTTGGAACACGTGGAAACTTCATCATGGATACCACTGCAGATCGCTAGCAAACCTTCCTGGCAGGTCGCCCTGTTATTCTCATCTCTCTGCATTCTGAAGCATCCTGTCTGTACCATCCCCGATGTCTGACAGAGTGACCAGAAGGCAGCCCTTCCATTCTCCGCACCCCCAGCCGAAGGATTTTTCTATCTCATCATAGTACCGCTGACCCCCATGTGGCGGTTCAGGCCAAATCAGCCCAGCTAACATGGTTCGTTTTTCTTCCAGGGAGCAGACACTGGGTTTCTGAACCTCGTTGCTGAAGACAGCCAGGACTTGAGCGAGCACAGGTTGGTGTCATGAGGTTTTTCTTTTCTCTATGTTTAGAGTTCACTCAGGTGTTTGGTTGGCTGTTTGGAGCCAGAATGAGTTCAGAGGCGTCCTGGCCATGCACGCCTGCATCTTCCCAGCTTTGCTCACTTCTGGGGGTTTGTCTCACCTGCCAAGAGCATGTGGGAGCCACAGAGAATGTCTTCCATCCCGGCTCCCGGAGCGGGGGTACATGGGGCTGGCAGGTCAGGTCCTAGTGCACCCAGGATGGGCACATGCCCAGAGTGGCACCTGCTTCCCAGCTCTTAGCTTCCTCCTCGAGAGGCTTAATTAGGGTCTGCGGCACTTCATCCCGTTTCCCATGTGCGTGGAGGGTGACCCATCAATGCCATTCACTCAGAGCAGAGCTTGGTCATGGGACTGAACAAATATCTGAACCGTATTGCTCCCCTGGTGGGACAGCAGTTTGGGAAATGTGCCAGAGGCCTCAGGAAGAATTAAGTCAGGAGGAAAATATAGCTCAGTTCTGATCTCTCAACTGTTACGCATTTGCTTGTCTCCGGTTTTATTCCCAAGAGGACTTTGAGTGACTTTTGTGATGTAGGAAGAGGAAACAGCATGGGGATGAATGAGATGGCTCCATGGCATCCGGGAGTGCCCTGCCCAGTCCATTTACTCTAAGTGTCTAGAGGGGACCAGCTGTCTTTAGAATCAACTTCCGGTTTCTAGCAAAAGTTCTGATGGATCTTTGATTCAGGTTGTGTTCCATTTAGCAATAAATTTGAGGGAGATCTGATGTCTCTATAACATTTATTTTTATCTAGTGCGTGTGTGTGTAAAATAAAAAATGTTAGACAAGAAGGCAGCACATGGTATAATTCCATTTAGATGAAGTCAGCACAAAATGTAAGTCTGTTGGAACAGAAAGGTGGCTCGGGCTTGCCAGGGGCTGGGGTGGGAATGGGGGTGAACTGTATTTGGGTGTCAGACACATCTTACAGTGCTGAGGGGAGGGTCCAGAACTGTGGGGCTGGGGCATCAAGCAGCTTGGTAAACTAAGAATCTTCGAGTTGTGTACTGCCAACCAGCCGATTGTATGACGCGTAAAGCAAACCTCAGTGAAGCTAAGATATATATTTTATCTCAGCCCAGGAGGGAAGCTGTCCCCACAGACAGAGACCAGGACTGAGATTGGAGCCCTGTGGTCCATCTGGCTTGTTTATGCTCCTTGAAGGTCCTGTGCAGGTTCAGTGTTAACTCTGTGTCACGAAGTCGCCAAGCAGGAGGGGAGTTTGGAGAACCACCTGGAGCCAGGCGAGGCCACGTAGAGTGTATGTGTCATCACAGTGTGCTTGATGAGTAAGCCCCACTCAACCCTTCTCCAGCGTGTTAATGTCTGACCAACTAACTGTAAAAAGAAACTGAATGGACAAAGGAGAGACAAGACACCCCAAACCCCACACCCATCAGGGACCACTGCTCACACCTCAGTGTGCATCCTCCTAAACCTCTCCGAATTCCATTCACTCAAGGGATTTTGAATAAGAAGGGTTTTCTCTTTGATGTACTCATCTCCCTTGATGGGCATCTTCATTCATCCATAAACCTAGATTTCCATCTTCTTTCCTGACAATGGCTTAACATTCCATGTTATAGACAAATTATAACTTCTTTCTTTTTTAAAATTTACTGAAGTGTAGTTGATTTACAATGTGTTCATTTCTACTGTCCAGCAAAGTGATTTAGTTATATATATATATATATATATACACACACACATTCTTTTTTCATGTTCTCCATTATGATTTATCACAGGATATTGAATATAGTTCCCTGTGCTATACAGTAGGACCTTGATATTAAAAAAATTTTTTTTTCTAATAACTAGCAGTTGTAAGGCATGATTGCTTTTTTAAAGATTTTATTTGTTTGTTTTTGGCTGTGCTGGGTCTTCGTTGCTGTGAGGGTTTTTCTCTAGTTGTGGAGAGTGGGGGCTATTCTCTAGTTGCGATGTACAGGTTCCTCGTTGCAGAGGCTTCTCCTGTTGCTGAGCACGGCTCTAGGGCACAGGGCTTCAGTAGTTGTGGATCCCGGGCTGTAGGGCACAAGCTCAGTAGTTGTGGCACATGGGCTTAGTTGCTCTGAGGCATGTGGGATCTCTCCAAACCAGGGATCGAACCCGTGTCCCCTGCATTGGAAGGCAGCTTCTTTACTCCTGAGACACCAGGGAAGCCACAAGACCTTGTTATTTGAATTAAAATTTATTTCTTTAAGAATAATTTTATAGTTGGTTTAACTGGTCTGTTGGTGGGCTTTTTCTGGAGGGTGTTCATTTTCTTTTATTGCTTTCCTTTTCTTTCTCTTTCTAAATTTTGCTATGTTCTGGGATGGATGTCCTTGTGCAAACTTTCTTCGTCCTTGGTTGGTTGTTGTTTGGGGTAAATTCCTGGAAGTAAGTTTGCCTTGCCTGTGACTTTAAGTCGGGGTGTTCTCATTTTTGTTTTAACCTTCAGCCACAAAGAAACGCACCATATTCCATCCCAGGATGTGTCTCACCACCCTCTCAAGTGCAGTTTTATGTCCTGGCCAAGCCAACAAGCCAGGACCATTTTAGTTGCTGTGTCCAGGCCTCCTTTTCATGAGCTCAGCTGTTTCTCTAAGGTGAATGGCCCGGATGCGTCCTTTCTGTTAGAGTTTCTGTCCTGTGCTGTGTTTAGTCACTAAGTTGTGTCTAGCTCTTTGTGACCCCATGAACTGCAGCCCACCAGGCTTCTCATGGGGATTCTCCAGGCAAGAATACTGGAGTGGCTTGCTATGCCCTCCTCCAGGGGATCTTCTCAACCCAGGAATCAAACCCAGGTCTCTCATTGCAGGAGGATTCTTTACCAACTGAGCCACCAGGGAAACCCTGGTGATGTTTAAATTCTCCCTATTTCTCTGTATGGACACAGTCCACTACAAGTGTTTTTTGGAGCATGTTTCCACACTTTGCTCACAGTGCGTTTTGTCATCAGGGATCTGAAACTTTCAAAGACCTGTCTTCTTTATTTTTTGTTGTCGTCTAACACATTAAGATTATAAAAACACAATCCACCTGCATTTTGTTTTGGATGGCATATTCTGCACTTCAGTCCTTGAGCCTTTTAAAATTCAGCTGTGCTAGGAGTTCTCACCTATGGGGGGTGGTGATTCTGACTGCTGGCTCCCCTCTCAGGGGACACAGATCCCTGTTGGGGGACATCTGAGGTTGTCACACTGGGGGGGATTCTCCTGGCAATGAGGAGGTGGGGCGAGGAAGGTTGCTCCACACACCACAGTGCCCACAATGGCCAAGGGTGACCAGCTGCCAGGTCATCAGTGCCCGGTGGACACTGCTGGGAGAGACAGAAAATACTCCTGAGCTGGTACATGTGGCTAGCCTTGCAGTGGTTCTCTGTTCCAAGGGATCCTGCTCTCCTACAAGTGGGGGGAATCAAGGTTTTTCCTGATTGCTTGTTAGTTTCATAGTCACTAGGAGCACTTCCTGTTTGCCAGTCCCCTCACATCTGAGGTCCCTACAGTACAGGGGGTACAGACAGTGGACTCTCCCATTTCTGAGCCACTGCTTGTCCAGGGAGATGGAGTGTCGCCGAGCAAGGGCCACACTGTCCATCCTGGTGACAGCACCTTGATCCACTGTGGTGAATGTCTGCAGACGCCAGGGCTAAAAGTGGGACCTGGAGTCTGGGTGGGGCTCCAGAGGAGGGGTCTGGGGCTCGGGCAATCCCCAGAGTGCTGGGATTCCCAGTGGTGGCCACTAGGGGGCAGTGAAGGTCCATGAGGTCTCCAGCGCAACTAGCAGGGATAGATGTGAAGAGGGTGCAGGGGTCCAAGTGAGTACCCAGCTTCTTCAGTCAACCCCTCGGCCCTCGTGGAGCCCTGTGACCCCTGTCTACATGTTCCAACACATTCTGGTTCAGCACCCAGAGTCCACCGTCACTCTTTCCTAGGGGCCTCCACTTCACAGACCTGGAGCCTCTGTGAGTTCATTGGATGTAAGAGGAAGGTAGAAAGCACAGACTCTGACCTTGGAGCGCTCAGGATCCCTGCACCCCCCAACTCTCCTGGTCCTGGTGCACCTCAATGCCTGGAGCAGAGTTGGTACCAGAGAACGAAGGCCAGAGGGTGGGGGTGCGCATCCCTGCTGGGACAATTGGATCTTGCTTCTGGGACTGCCGCCTCTGTCGCCTGGAAGCAGCCGGTGGCTCTGATCCCCAGGCAGGAGCAAGGTGGGGGGTGGTTCTCCCCAGGCTGGTCTCTCGAAGTACCTCCTTTGGGACTCACCTAAACGCCAGAGACCCTCAAAGACCCCTCGGGTCTCCTGGCTGTGGAATCTGCCCAGTGTCTCCCGAGGCAACCTCAGGTGTGTGTCACCTGGGCAGTGACTGCTCGGTCTGGTCAGATGCAGTGACCCTCTCCAAAATGTTCTCCATCCCCTTGGCAAGGGTTTCCAAGTGTCTGCCAGGCCAGGCTCCAGGGGATGCCAGTGTGCAAGGTGGATGTTCCAGTGAGAATTGTGGACCCATTCGGAGTCCTCCCCCTCCAACACTGCTGACATCGGGCCGGGTCACCCTGTGGGGTGCAGTGGGCATCCTGGGCACTGTGGGGGAGGGTGGAGCAGCCTCCAGGCCCCCATCCCCATGACGCCAGGAGCCCTCAGTTTTGACAACTGACCCCACACAGATGTTCCCAGACATCACCCAGTGTCCCATGGAGGCAGGCCCCCTGCCTCACCGGTTCCTCTCATAGTGTCTCTGGATGTGGGTGCCCCCTCCCGAAACCAGATGGATCTTCCCATAAGTTTGGAAGCTCTGGCAGAGGGGCGGTGGGGGGTGGGGGGGTAAAGGGTGGGGGGCTGGGACCATAGCCAGTTGGCTCCCGCCCGTGGAAGGGCTGAGCGCATGGGCCTTATGGCACTGGCTTTCCTTATGGAGGTGCCACTGCCCTTTTAGCCAGAGTTGGGCTTTCCAATAGGGTAGCCACGCATCCCCAGCGGCCACGGAGCTCCTGAAAGGGAGCTCAGATGGAAATGAGTGTATTTTGCACAGGCCACGGTGATGATTCTTAGCTGAGAACGATTTTTCCAGCTTTTCACCAGCCCTCCCTCCTGAGGCAGAGCTCAGTGACCTCCCAGCAGCCGGTGTTTTCCTGATAGCCCCTGTTCTCTGGGAGTTTGTGAACATTTCAGCTGAAAGCGCCTCCCGGATCTTTTATCTCGAGAGGGTGGCCCTCGTGTGAGGGACAAACTCCAACCCGGCGCGCCACGTCAGAGACTGTTTCTTTCTCCTGGTTGGTCCCCTGCTTCAGATGTGTGTTGAAATGCCCACAATTATCAGTTCTCTCCGCGGACAAGCTGTTCTCCTGAAAGAGCTGCCAAGATAGACAGTTGAAACCTTAAAACGTTCTTGCAGAAGGTCATGGCTGCTGCCGCAGCCTCACGATACATAAGTAATTACTGGGTCCCCGCCCAGAAACCCACCAAGGGCGCCCCCCCCCCCGACAGCACACAGGACCCAGAGCCACGCCCACCCCAGTAGCCCATGGCTTTGATTCTGGAATCTTGGGGAGAGCAGGCCCCAGGGTGCTTCCCATGGCAGCAGGGGGCTGCTCAGACGTGACATCAACCCCCTCCAGAAGGGTCTCACCCTTGTGATCCTGCCCCCAAGGAACACTGGGCAATATCTGGGGATGTCTGTGGTTGTCATGACTGGAGGGGGTCCTGGCATACAGTGGGTGGGGGGCCTAGGGGTGTGCTCCACCCCCCACAGTGCTCAGGATGGCCCCACAATGTCCCAGCCCGTGTCAGCAGTGCCCAGCTGGAGTGGGGAGTGGGGAGTGGGGATCCCACTCCCCAAGATTCTTGCTTCCAGGATGAACCAGCATCACTCTTTTTGTGCTCCATGTATTTTATCACACTGGCTCCCACCCCGGCCCCACTCTTCTGCATGCTGTGGGCGAATCCCCTCACACACTGGTTAGTGCTGCCACCTAATTGGACCAACTTGAACACCCAGGCCCAGAAAGGCTCCTATCTGATACCGCAGAGCCAGGCTTCCACCTGTGGGGCAGTGAGAACTGTCCCAGCCCAGGCAGCAGCCAAGGTCTGGAGACCCATGCATCCCCAGGCGGGCATGTTGCTAGGCAACGGCTTGACTGGTCAGCCTCCCTCAGAGCAGGGATGATGCACACGTGGTCATCAATAGTCAGATTCAAGGCCTCCTTTGACTCAGAACACACATGGGGTGACAGTCACGTATGGTAAGGTGGGGGCAGGGGTATAGGGAGCCATGGGGAAGCTGAAGAGGGGCTCATTTGTGGTGGGTAGAAGGAGCCCCTACACCTCAGGGCCCATTCCCACCCCCTGCCACAGTGCACAGACCTGAATCCACCTGAGCCGGTGCACACTGAGGATGTGGTTCTTCCTTTTGTTCCCTCCTCTCTAACTTTGTATGTTGAGTCAGCAGACACCTGTGTGCCAGGCCCAGCTGGCTAAAGCGTGTGTGTCTGGCTGCAGAAGCTCCCAGTACAGTGTACACGGTGGGCATGTGTAACGGAGGACTGAGGCATGACCTGGGGAGGGCCAGGCTGGGATGAGCTCAGAAGTTGGGGGCAGGTGGAGGGCTCTGGGGGGCTGAGAGTGGGGTGGGGGCTTCAACAGGCACCCCAAATACAGGGACCTGGGTTATCAGGAGCTTGTTTCTAATTGCCACTGGTATTCCCCCAAATTCAAATGTTAAAACCTACTTACTCCCCAGTGTGGTGGGAATTGAAGGTGGAGCCTTTGGGGAATATGGTCTTGGGACTTATATTAATATTAAATACATATTTTGAACTTTAGCCATGGTTACTATCTCCCAGCTCCCAAAGCTCTTAGAATTTCTTGAGCCAGTGGAGCATCCCCTGCATGTAACTAAATGTGACAGTGATTGTGAAACCCCAGGCTCTCTGCTCTGCCATCACATGAGGAGTGTGCTGGCTAGCTAGTGCTATGTCATAAGCGACCACAGACTCGGCACCTTATACCTCCCCTGTCTCTCCAGGCAGAAGTGTGGCTGAGGCCTCTGCTCACAGTCTTACTGGGCCTGGCCCAGACTGAGTTCTCTCCTGAGGCTCAGCTGGGGAAGAATCCATTTCCCAGTGTGCTCAGGCCATTGGTAGGGTTTGGTTCCTTTCAGTTGTCAGGCCCAGGTCTTAGCAGCCCACTAGGGACGGCTCTCAGCTCTTGGAGGCTGCCACCAGGTCCTGGCCTGGCTGCATGATCTCCTCCAGGGGGCCCCTCATCCCTCCAGTCACTGCAGAAGGGCCCTGCCCTAGGGAGGGAGGACTCACCTGATTGGGTCAGGCCCACCCATGCATCCTTTTGATTAACTCAAAAGTCAACTAACTTGGGAATTTATTTAATTTGATTTTGTCTCTTTCTTTTTTTGTTTTTTAAATTATGAAGTTATGATAACACATTTATAGGAGACTTTGAGAATACAGAACAAGGTTACATATAAGTTCCACTGTATATGATAATTATTTTTAAGTAGATAAATTTTTAGTTGGAGTTTCAATATCAAACTCTCAAAAAGGAATAGAATGAATATACAGAGAAGTAGAAGGATACAGTAGACCTTGAAAGCACTATGAACCAATTCAACATAATTAAGATTCATACAATTTTCACAACTGTAGGATACAAAAACTAAGAGACACTGGAACATATCTGGGGAAATAAAACAAGGTGCAAAAATTTCATGATCTAAAGGTATTGAAATGATACAGAGCCTATTCTCTTATCACTGTGGAATTATATTAGAGATCAGTATCAAAAGATATTTGAAAATAACCCCCATATTTTCAAGTGTAATGGAATGTTACCCAGAGCGATCTTTGACTTAGCCATTGAAAGCCTCCTTAAAGTTAGAAGACTGAAAAACCACAGAGGATGATTACAGAGAAGAAAGCATTTAAATGAGAAATTAATATCAAAATGAGAAATTAATATCAAAGATACTTATATTTATTTATTGGTTGCACCACACTACAGGTGGGATCTTAGTCCCCTGACCAGAGATTGAACCCACACCCCATGCAGATTCTAATCACTGGACCACAAGGGTGGTCTCTAACTTGGGACTTTAATTACACCCTCGAATTCCTTCCTCTGCAGGAAATCACCTAATCAGGGGAATGGCATCTTATCACCTTCATAGTCCTGCCAACCCCTGGGGCTTGGTCCACCAGGAGCCAAGGGTTTGGAGACTTAGACTCCTTCTGGCCACCAAGGGGCAGCAGGGAGCCTGGTCAATGCAGATGCAGGCACCTGCAGCTGGCACCAGGGCTCGCAGGGGGCCTTTGTACCCTCCTGCTCCTTGCTGGCGGCACCGCAGGCAGGTCAGTGTTGGGTGGAATGGCAGTGGTTGGAGAAGGCATGCCTTGTTTGTCTCAGTCACACCTAGACATACCTAAGGTTTCATTTGGTTTTGGTTTTTGTTTTTTTCTGCTGCACCACTTGGCTTGCAGGGTCTTGGTTCCCCAACAAGCAATCAAATCTGAACCCCTTGCAGTAGAAGCTTGTCATCCTAACCACTGAACCACCAGGAAAGTCCCCTCACTGTTTTATTTTTTTTTAAGAAAGGCTATAATTTGAAATAGTTCCAGATTCATGCATGCATGCTCAGTCATGTCTAACTATTTGCCACCCAAAGGACTGTAGCCTGCCAGGCTCCTCTGTCCATGGGGTTCTCCAGGCAAGAATACTGGAGTGGGTTGCCAATTCCTTCTCCAGGGGATCTTCCCAACCCAGGGATTGAACTGGCATCTCCTGTGTCTCCTGCATTGGCAGGTGGATTCTTTACCACTGAACCAGCTGGGAAGCCCAATTCCAGGTTCATAGGAAGTTGCAAAAACCATGCAGAGTGATCCCATGCACCCTTTCCCCAGCTCCCCCTGGTGGCCTCATCTTGTAACTAAAGTACGATAGGAAGTTGGTGTGTGTGCAGGCCCCTGCCCTGTGTTAAATCTGTGGGCATGGAGGACCGTCACCCATTTGCAGAATGGAGAGTTCTTCCATCCTTGGGGGGGTGGGGCGCGGAGAAAAACGGACACGAACATCTAACCGTGGATGGCATTGTGTCCCACGCTCGCGGCGCAGGCCTAGTTCCGTGCGTCTTGTCTGCTACCTCGTCAGGCAGTCAGCCCTGCCAGTGGGTTTATTCTCTTGGGGGGATTCTGCCAGTTTGTGGGGGCTCCCAGCACCAAAGACTCAGGTTCAAATCCAGACACACCCCCACCTGCAGGGCACCCCAGGAGACGAGGCTGCTGAGACATCCCCATGTTGGAGTCAAAGCCTCCTCAACTTCCCCAGAGGTCTCTGCTGTCTTCTCTGTGCCCCGCATGGTCAGTCGGTGTTCTGGGGGTGGGGGGGGGGCGTTGTGTGCGTCTTACTCCCAGGAGCCTGTTCAGTAGCAGCACCCCTCACGTCTGAGGGAGGGGGAATTCCAAGATGGTGCTCTAGATCCCCACCCCCTGGTGTCCACACTCTGGGTGGGTTCCCACTCCACAGTTAGGCTCACATGATGTGGCCAAAGAGAGTTTGCGGGTATAACAGAGACCCCTGATCAGTGGTGGGTGGCCTGACCTAATCAGATGAGCCCTTACAAGAGACCAGAGACATATTTAGAGGAGTCAGATCCACAGACAGGAAGTAGATGGTGGGGCCAGGGGCTGGAGGAAGGGGCGGGGAGTTAGTGTTTCATGGGGACAGAGTTTCTGTTTGGGAAGATGAGAAAGTTCTGGATGGTGGTCCAGACAGTCACGCAACAAT